TGATTTCGAACTGGAAGAAAAGTATCACCATTTAAATCCAATTTTTCTTATTCTTTTTATTATAGTACCTGTTAAAACAGCCACAAACCGCTATTATTTTCACTCAAGCACGAATTTATAGACGAAGATTTCAAAAAAATATGACTGAACATGTTCATTTATTGCTTTTGCTACTTCTATATGGTGCACAGGTTATTTGTTTTGGAAGAATGACTGATAGGAATAGCTTCATTTCAAGAGTTTTTCCTACCTTTGTTAGAGCACAACATCATGGGCAACTGCGTCAATTCCTCTGCAAGAATTCATGCCACTCTCAACCCATCTGGTATTTTCATCTCTCAAGAATTTCTTCACAATCATCTTATTATGTATTTTTTTATTCTAAAATTGAAGAGCTAATTATTTTAGTTAATTATTTCTTGTTTTTAATTTTAGTAAAACAATAAAAATTACAACAATAATCCATACTAATAACAAATTTTTACCCCACATTTTGTCAAGATTTGATCTCCAATTTCAGATCTCATTATTTTGTTTCAAATTAATGGAGGACTCCAATTAATTAACACTGAAGAGAAATTAATAAAAATCAATTGAAGTGTTTGAAGTTATGCTGCTGTCTAATAGTATCAAAATTTCTCAGCTCATCCATTGGTTTTTTGGGTGGAGAGCCATTGGAAATATTATAGTACAATACTCATTTATTATCATTTCCAGCAATAATATGCCCATTATCGCCGGTGGGTCAAATTCGTTCATCTACGCACTTCTGGCTGAAAAATTCAGCCCCGAAATAGACGTGTTCAGCAAGTCAGACTCGAACATCCTACGGCTGGGGGACGCCGCGGCGAAGCGAGCCGGCAAAAGAGTGGCGGATATTTGGGAAAGACAGGTGGTAGAACCAAGCTTGAAGATTGTGAAGCGGTTCTCGATGGAGTAGGTTTTCCAGCTCACTCGTAACAATTTCCCTATTCTCTCTTATTGGTTAGAGTTTAATTTTCACTTTTTAGGGGTTGGTAATTACTTATCTTATTTTTTGCTTCTGTGAAAATCTTTTACATTGTTGGTTTTCTAGGAGGAGGAAAGATTAGGCCGCCACAATTAAATGTTTCAAATAGTTCTTCAGAATTTCAATTAGAATCTGTGATAACCTTATCCATCATATCTTCGATTTTTCCTATAAATTAGTCACAAATTTCTACATTGCTCGAGGAAAACTAAACTTCTAAAACCATTACATGGATGCACTGTGAATCTTCATTGTTCAACTAGGAGATTTTAATAACTCCATTATGAACAATGAATGAGGCATTGGAAATTATTTTATCATAAACATGACCTTGAATTCCTATAATGTTCCACTTGGAAAATAGGATTTCAAATTGACAAATTAATTGCTTCAAATTGAAAGAGTATGCATGCATGAAAAAGTTATAGTTGGGGTCAAAAACACTAGAGGCCACTGACTGTTTCTGAAATTTCATATTGGTCACTTTAGCATGCAATGACATGCTTATTGTTGAATTTTAATAGCTTGTAATAACATGCTTATTTTTTATTTTTATCCCTTTGTTCAGGAAAGAAATGAAATCTATTTTACAAGCTTCTGAGGTGCTCCCACTTGTCTACACTCCAACTATTAGTGAGGCCTGCCAAAAATATGGGAGTACCTTTAGGCAACCTCAGGGACTTTTTATAAGTTCCAAAGGAGTAAGTTTGATTTCAGTGAATTTTCTAATTTTCCACAATAGTTGCTGGAATGATTATTATTAGTGTTTCTGCAGGGGAAGAATTCTTGAGGTATTCAAAAATTGGCTTGAAAAGAAGATTCAAGTTATTGTCGTGACTGACGGTGAGCGGATTTTAGAGCTTGGAGACCTTGGCTGACAGGTATTTGGACATTTTCCGCATGTTCTTTTGTTTTTCTTCGAGGGAACGAGTTTCACTATAGTATAAAGCATCTCATTCAAAGGTTTGTACATTTGTAGGATCCCAATGTTTGCACCTTTGGTATTACTTTTTTGCACCCAGTAATGGCAAGAAGACTGATTACTAGGTTGATAGCCACAAGTGGTAATGAAATTAAAGCTCCCAATAGGAATTTATTGTCGGGAATCATGATTGATTACCACTAAGCCGAGGTTGGAGGGAAAGTAAATGATATGCTGAATAAGCT